CAGTTAAAATTTTGTATTTACTTCTTAAAAGAATTCTTGACATGAAACATATCGATCTTGTCGTTTAAGAGTTCCTGCACCATATCGATATATTCAAAGCAGCGCTTTAATTGAAATAAAATTGGAAAAGCTTGTTTTTATCTATATTTATCTTATTTTCAATGAATAATAAAAAGAATTTTTACTTTATCAAAAATTATGAATCAATGATAAATTTATTGTTGAGTTTACTGAATACGAAAAAAAATATATATACTTATTTATGCCAATTTAACAGATTGCATTTTAAATTTTGCTAGTTTCACGAATTTTATTCTCATTTTAAGCTGGTTATTATTCTTTTCTTTAAATTCAAATGGAGGTGAGTGCTGGAAAAGGAGAGAAAACAATGCACTGAATTGTCATTTTCTCTCCTTTTCCAATGCTTGGCCCATTTGATCTTATGCAGTTTTCATTGAATTTTGTTTATTAAGAATTTTTTTGGAATTTCTGTTAAATTTTTAACTCACTTTGATTTATATTGATTTTGCCAAACCTCAATTGCACAATTTACAACAAACCCGTTAAATTATAACCCTTTAGTAATACCGTAAATTTACAAAATTGCCGTATATTCATTTTAAAAATTTGTCAAATCGAGAAGATCGCTTCTTAAAATTGATTTTTTTTTCTCAAAATTAAGTCGATTGATAGTGCATCAAACTAATTCGACGCGTTACTATTGTCTTATGCGACAACCGATTTACCATATCATACACATTTTGTCAAGTGTAATGTTTACACACTTCGTGGGCTAAATACTTGAGTATAATACATTTTTCGTGTTTAACTTAAATTACTTAAATTTTGTACTTTAGATCTGTTTTTAGATAATTCTATGTTAAATTAAATCGACTATTTTTATGCAACTTCTTACTAAATTTATCTTATATTCACTAAATTATGAAATTCACTATGAAATTTTTAAATTGGCTTTGAATTTTGTAGATTTTATGGCATTTTTATTCAATTTGTTAATACACTTATCAATTTAACAAATGAATCTTTTAAAGCCTGATGCTGTTAATAAGAGATTGTCCAATTCTTTAGTACGGTTCCATTGTAGACATTCTTGACCAACTCTTCAATTCGTTATGTACACTCATCCAAATGTCAAAATGCAGTAGCAATTCGGCACCATAATTCGTCCGAATTCGGACTATTTTTGCACGAAGGCAATAGAAATTCGAACAAAGGCAATATAATTCAGGCGTACGTTACCTCTAATTTCGTCAGAATTGCCGCCGAATTCAGCAAAATTCGGACGACTTAGCTGAAATGGCACCGAATTGCCCCCGCATTTAGACATTTGGACTAGTATACATAACATATTAGCATAAATCCATTAGTACATTGAATATTGGCATCATTAAAAGTACTCTTAAAAGTATAAATCCCAAAATCGGAAAAAATTCACTAAAACACATGGAAGTAAGCTTGCCGCCCGTGATGTAATATTACGATATTACGGGTTTGCAACCATTAATACAAATTGAAGGGTACTACAACAATCCGTAATACCGTATTTCGTGGGCTAAAGTACTCCCTAGTACCCTCCTTATTGTAAATGCATAAGATCCGGGTACTATATAGAATGACGACGAATGAGTGTATAGAGTTTATATTGTACAATACGAAATCTGTGTATAATTGTTATTCCATAGTATCCCTCTGTGTAAAGTACTCTCATTAAACATGAAAATGTATTATACCCAGAGTATTTTAACCCACAAAGTATGTAAACATTACTCTTGACAAAATGTGTGCGATATAATAAATCGGTTGTGGAGTAAAATAAAAGCAACGCGTCGAATTAGTTTGATGCACTATCAATCGATTTAATTTTGAGAAAAAAATCAATTCTAAGAAGCGATTTAGAATTGATTCCTAATCGCAAAAATACAAAATGTTGCAACCACACAGGACTGGTTTGTTGATTCGGGTTGTAACATTACAAATCATTTTTAGTTACGGGAAGGCAAGGTTACATATATGGAAGTCGCGCAAAAATGTACGTATGTTGTAAATTTACGGTGTTGCAATATAACGGGTTTGTTGTAACATGGGTTGCAAATCGCTTTTAGTTACGGGAGGCAAGGTTACATGGAAGTCGCTGAATTCGATAACAATTGAATTGATACATGTAATAAGCATCAATTTTGAAAACTCGGCATAAATTCGACAATAGCATTGGAATATCGAAATATATTCAAAAATAAAATAAACTAAAATTAATACGTAGATACATTGAATTTCACAAAAATATACGGCAAATTTTGTCAAATTCAATAAATACATTGAAATTTCAAAAAACCAATTCCATAAATTAAAAATCAGCATTTTACGCATAGATAATCCAATGTCAAGTAATTCACTTACAAAAAGGCAAAATTAAATTTGCAATTTTATCAATCAGTAAATTTTCACAAAAATATTGAAATTGTAGTGAATATCTAGACAATTCTTTATTTCGTAGCTAAAATAATAAAAAACTTGGTCTATCCTTGATTAAAATTGATTGAAAATTGTCGTGTTTCTATATCTACCTTAAATTCAATTGTTAATTTTTTAAATCCGCTGTATTTTATTTTTTGAATTTTTGCCAAAGTACAATGAAATTTAAGCAGAAATTACTAAAATCACCGTTAATTTTATTATAGTCATTTCAATGAAATACGATGAATTTCAGGCAAAATATAATAAATTCAGTAAACACTCAGTAACCTATGGCACATTCAATAAAATCAGCGCAAATCGAAAGCGTTAGTAATCGATATTCCAGGGTTGAATTCTTTCTAATCTTTTATGTCAAAAGTTAAAGCGTTATTGTGATTAATATTTCCGTATGATTTTCTGTGGTGACTGCCTACAAACGCTGTAAATGCCCGATTTGACTTTCCTTTTAATACTTCTGGCCATCAATTTTTTCCTTGTCTACAAGATTTTCTCAGTCTACAAGATAAGGTTGGTTCCCTAGATCACTACTTGACACATCAAAAATGTCTTGCATACTAAAGCTGGACATTTTTATGTACGCCAGCCAGGTCAACATTTTTTCCGTTTATTAGGATTTTTTTCATATATTAAAATCCGTTTTCGAACGAATAACGATGCGAATAAAGTTAATGTGATAACATATTAACGTTAAATGCAAAGAGAACATTACGTATTATGATACAGAGACATTTACTATGTCTACGTATGATCAATCGTTCTTCAAAAAGACATAATATAATTGCTCCTTTGAATACTCCGTATCTCCACAATCGAATGCCCGCCGATACCAATATATCGCCTGATGTTTATCCACCAACCCACTAAGCCCATTATGAAAAGAATTCGCATAATTATATTTTCCCACATGATCACTTCCAATGGCAGATTTTCGATAAAAAAGAAATGATTTATATTTATTTGGTCGTGTTCCGATTCCTAGTTGATAGCAGTATCCAAGTTCATTTGCCGCGTCTAGATTTCCAAGATCAGAGGCATTTTTGTACCAGTAAAATGCTTTTTTGTTGTCTTTTTCAACACCACGTCCTTCTTTGTAGAGAAACGCAAGTTGGATTTGGGCGTCGGTGTTTCCTATATTTGCTGATTTTTGGTATAGTCTGAATGCTTCTTTTTCATCTTGTTCTACTCCGTACCCGTATTGATAACAATAAGCGAGATTGTATAGTCCATAACTATGATTTTGTGCTGCACTTTTTTTATACCAATACACGGCTTTATATAAATCTTGAGACACTCCATGCCCATTTCTATAACAATCTCCAACATTACATTGTGACCCGGAATCTCCACCTTCCGCCGATATCACATAATAACTGAACGCTTTATCAATGTTAGCTTTTACGCCAACACCTTCCTCGTAACATTTTCCCAACCAACCCAATCCCATCGTACAACCACCATCAGCTGAACGTTGAAACCAATAGAAAGCCTTTTCTGGATTCTTGCGTGTTCCTACCCCATCGTAAAAACACCATCCTGTTTGATTTGCAGCAACTGGATCTCCTTGTTCCGCAGCGGTCAAATAATATCGAAACGTTTCACATTTATCAATCTCTGTTCCTATTCCCAGGCAATACATAAATGCTAATAGTGTTTTATAGTCTGTTTCATCGTTACTTCGCTCGAATATCATTTGAAATATTTGTGCTGGTGGTTCACTGTGTGTTTTGAACCATTCGTTTACCTCCACTTGTATTACTCGGTCATTTTCGTATCCTTTTATGAAGATTTCGAGTAATTCTTTTGATAAATCTCTTTTGAAGGTGGTATCTGGCACCATTTTTTTTAAAATAAATATTTAACAAAATGTACAAATTAATTTTTAGACTTTGAAGTATAAAATACGTTTCTTTTATACTTATATGAATTAGTGGCATGCATTAGTTGTCTCACAATAATAAGCATTTGGTTAATAGAGTTATATGTTGCGCCAAGTCACATTCAATAAAGATCATCCAAAGTACGTAATTGGAAATTTCATAAAAAACTACATGTATCTGCTACGTAATATATAGAACCAAGATTTTTGTTAGCACAAGTGGCATTAAGAATTATGCCTGATTCGAACTGGTATTAAAAATGCAACTTGTATCATATGCAAATGTTCATTAATTATAGTTTAACACCACATTTCTTTTTTCTTGAATATGTTTCAGAGGTGACTTTTGCTTCTTAAAAAGCATCTTTTTTAATACATATCTTTTTGTATGCTATAAATCGATATTTTACATTTTACTATAATGGAAATGCATTTAATCACATGATGCTCATATTTATTGTGGAGGATCATAATGAAAAACGGATTATGGTGAAATTTTTGGCCAAAATTGTGCAGATCATGAGATCATTTGGCCCGAATTATCGATAATTTCTTATAATAAAAGAGCAATATCTTGAAAATAATAAAATATATAACTAAAATTAATTTTGCAATAATATTGCTAAATACTATGTAAATTTATGAGTACGTATATATTATAAGATATTGCAAATTTTCACCATACGTAATCCGTTTTTCATCATGATCACCCACATTTATTACATCATATCCGCATCAGCACTTGGTACACGAACTAACTGTTTGACAAGATGAATAACGATAACGATAATAAGATTATTATTAGATATGCTCTGAAAGAGCTTTTACAAAAATTCATTTCGCAGAAATTCAAATCTCTGAACACCTAAAGCAAAAATCATGATTACGCAGGTCTACTAGGATTCTGTTATTACGAAGGTCTCGGTACATTCTTCGACCAACAAAAAGCCTTTAAATGGTACCTACGAGCTGCCGAACACAATGACTCATTGGTCAAAATCAAGTCGGAAATCTCTTTGTGGATAGGTATGGCACAAGAGTCGATAACTGGTATCAAAAATCAGCGGATAACGATTGCAGCAGTGGGAAATCCAACCTCGGATACTGTTATCAGTGTGGAATTCATGTAGAGAGCAATCGGCGATATGCTTTTTATTGGTATTCCAAAAGTAGAGATGGGTGACGAATGGGGAAAGTGTAATTTGGCGAATCTGCTTTTGGATGGTATGTGAACGAATGTTGATATTCATAGGCCTTAAAGTTGTATCTGGAAGCGGAGGATTTGGGATGTGTGGTTAGATCATCATTCGTAAAATTTTCAATATATACACAATAGTTTCAAGGTACATGTAATTTCAAAATAACGAAATATTCAAAATTAAATAAAGTGTAGGCATAAGCACGCTTAAATCCAAATTCATTTAGAGAAAATTTAGTGAATGTCAGGTTAAAGTCATCGAGTATAACAAAAATTTACTAAAATGTTTATCAAATTTTGATTTTTTTACAAAACTTCGTTACTGACTTGTAACATTTTTATTGAAACTATTCGAGATTATTTTTCTGCTTCATTAACATTGAAAGAACGTAAAACTTGAGAAATGCTTTTAATAATTGCTAATTTTCTTTCTTATATCGATAATTTTTTAATTATTAAAATAATTTGGTTTGCATTTCAGAAAAAAACAAAATTTCAGGACTTCAAGCAAAATCACTAGTATTAAATTTATAATGACTGGTAATTTAGTGGTTGTCTCGTAATCTTTGGTCTCGATAAGAAATATCGATTTTTATTAAAATTAGTTGTATATTTATGAAAAAGTAAGATAATTTTACTGACATAGCCAAAAAAAAAGGGGGGGGGGGGTTAATTTACAAAAATATTTTTATAGCTGAAATAGTAGAAAAAGGTTACATCTAAAATGAGGATAAAGAATATTTGATTCAATGACGATTCTCATGTTCTTTGACGATAATAACGGTGCATCGACAAATGTGGCTACAATAATCGCTCACAGATCCCAAGATGGTTCTAGTAATGTTAGAAACATAAGTTTTGAATTTTAAAAATGAAATCGAGAATAAAAAGTGAGTTTAATAATAAACCTTTTTAGTGCGCCTAAACCACGAGATCCTATTACCAAAGAATCCGCGCAGACTTCTTCAACCTTTCGAACAATTTCATCGCGTGCATCACCTCTCATAGCAATCGCTTTGCACGCAAACTAATATCATATATAGAAAATAATAATAGTCAAAATAAAATATATAGAAATTTGGTCAAAACCAGGTTTGACTACAAAATTTTTGGCCGAAAGTATAATTTTATAGCCGAAAAACAGTTTAGGCAGCAAACTCACGTTCTGTTGCTTCAATTTCAAAGCATACTCCTGCAAAAGTTGATGGCTGTTTGCACGATGCTAATGGAAAAGAAATCTTAGAATATAATTAACTAAAAAAATAGAGTGAATAAATATATAATCATCGTACTTGTTCCTCGATATTGAGAACAACGTCGCTGAAATCCATATAAGCTGCGCCTATAGCTAAATAAAAACTGAAAATTGGATGATAATGATTTAAAATACAAAATAACTAGAAACTAACCGTATGGACCAGGAATTGAGGTAATTGGTCTGACATTAACCAAAACTACCTTTTGTCATTATTATATAGGATTAAAAGAATCAAATCATCGATTAATCATCAATTTTTAGAACCAAAGCGAGTTTTATCAAAAAAAAAAATACCAAATCAGTTTCCTTTCGCAATAAATTTTTAGTCGCCCAATCGAACGCGTATTGACTGTGACTAGAATGGTCAATAGCAATTACTATGACACGAGTAATTGGAGATTGTAGTTGCGCATCTTGATCATTTGTAAGAATTTGGTCGTGTGTAGAAGTTGATGTGTCTTGTTGATGTGTAGAAGTTGATGTGTCTTGTTGATGTGTAGAAGTTGATGTGTCTTGTTGATTGGTTTCAGCAGTAGGATCGGAAGAGGTAATAGCAGTTTGTGTGAAAGCTTCCAAGGACATTTTATCGTTATGAAATATAAATATTAGAATCCTTACTAGCTAGCTCATTATATATACGTGTATTTTGTTGATCATACAATTATGACGACATAGCGTCATCATTATCACCCCATGTTTTTCAATCATCCGATTCCGACATATCATATCATATCATATCATCCCACACGAGATTACAACAATGATCTAACTTGCGCACTTCAAAATTGCATGTCTTTTCTCGAATATTCCGTCGATATGGATTCTCGAAGTTGCAACACATTTTAGCATTAACGCTAATTTGCTTTTGTATTTCTTAATATCGTAGAAATCGTAATAATCATTTCGCCAAATCATATTAAGGAAGAAGAATTGACGATAACAAAGCAATCTTGGAAAAAAGCGATGCCCTTAGTTTATCATACAAAAGAACTCGAGGATTTATTCTCCAGCAGCTGAAGCAACCACATTCATTCAACATTCATATAACAAAAGATTTAATATAGGGATTCTAAATGTCTTGTTGCATTCGCCAACATTCTAGCTTTCCTTGTCTTCAGATTCTTGATACATTGTTTTGCTTGGTGAGCTTTCATTATAAACTCACTTAATCTACTCTATTCTTTGACAGACAGCTATAAAAATTCTTTTCGCGGCTTTAGTGGATCGATTCAACTTATCTACTTATTAATTTCGCTAATTTCTCATTTGTCTGTTCAGTCTTGGAGAACAGCAGACTGACAGATTGTTATGCCAACAGTGATGCTCTAAATACATCATAATGAATAGTAAAGCTAAGCATTCACACTACTTTCTTCGTCTGAAATATCCAACAGGGCGCTTCCGTTGTTTATAATAGTAGTAGGGACTATTGTCACTTCGTAATTCTCTTTAATCAAAAAATAGATAAAGAATTGAATGATAATTCCGGGCGGTTGCCACCACACTGTGTCTAAATTCAATTTTTAGTTCCAACATATATATTACATGTATATACTTGCGGAAATAGATATATGGTTGCGTATTCTATAAATAAAAACAAAATTGACCTCCTCTATATAAGCACTTCCTACTTAAATAAAATTGTAGGTCTGACATAGAATAATAATAATAATATCCTTTTTTGCAATCAAGCACGACATTTTCTGTTATAATTGTAAATTTTTAGTAATACCCGCAAGCAGTGACAGGGACAGGGACAGGGACGGGACAGTCCATGTCCGGCATTTTTTATCCCCAGACTAAGGGGCCTATGTTGAGATTGGCTTGTCCGTGTCCTGCGAACACAGATACGGAAGTGGACTTTCGGACATGTCCTGTGTCCGTCAACAACGTCCGTGTACAATACTGCCCGCAAGTAAATTGAATATCCAACTTGCGGCACATGCACAAATCATGCGAACACTTGCAGAAACTCAAATATTTTGAGTTCCAAAAAGTCTAATGAATCCGTCATAATCGAATAGGATTTATTACTGTCTGACCCTTGCGCTTGGTTCACATATATAGCTCACGAATTAAATGAGGAATCAATATCGATGTTTTATTTGACACAATAAAATGATCATGTCATATTAACACGTCATCATGCATTCTAAAATCCAAGTCACGATATCCATTGAACCGTCGTTTACCACCACAATATCATATGCATTTAAATAAGTATTCAATAGATCATTAACACGAATATTTAAGAATCCAATAGTTAGGCAAACATCATGTTTGATACCTTTAGACATATCTAAATCACCTAGTGAATCACCAAGTAATATGACATTGTTCTTTTCTATTAGAGTAGAGTAATAGGGAGTTCCTTCGATCGTAGCCTCAAGTTTGTTGAATACGTGCAATAATGGTTCCTCAAATCGGTTATAAATGCCTTTCGAAGAATCAAAGACCATTTTGTTGGCAACAATGTGCATATTCGGATGATAAAGATTTTTCGATCGTAAAACTTCTTCAATGACATCTAAATTTAAGTTACGAGGTAAGCATTAAAATGAATGACGTTTCTTCCCTAAAAGACAAATTTTTCACGTAGATAGATTACTTTCGATTCCAGCCGAAAAGACCAAAAAAGGCACATCATTATCTCGACAAATAGAGGTGACATCTCTTAGACCTGGACGCATTTCGACAGGAGTTTCTTCCACGATTCTCGCAATATCATCTTTAGTTGGACGTTGATCAATCATTAGTTGATGCGCTTTCATCCACCATTCGGTCATTAATGGTATTTTTTCGGCTATTGTTAAATCAGGATCAATTTCCAATGGATAATATTTCTTATAGAGTAAGTCGGATTCTTGTTTTAATATGTTACTAAGCCGTGATAATATCGCATGAGAACTGGGATTAATTTCTCCATTGCCTTTATAGTAACTGGTCATTGTACAATCAAAATCTGAAGATTATTAACAAAGTAATGTCATTAGAATTTTCCTTTGCAGAACGCATAAACGTGTAAATACTGTAATTCCAATAACACCACCACGTACCACATATAATATGTAATTTTTTTATTCCATCCTTTATCATATTTTCAAGCTTTGTATTGGTATTTTCAGTGTTCTTAATATAAACATGTTTGTCATTAGTTATTTTCGCGAAAAGTTGTTTATTAGACATATTACACTGGAAGATAACGATAAGACATGTTGAATTCAAATTTATATCAATTTTGCACGGAATTGATTGGTTCACTATACTAAATTAGTTCATTTTGTATTTTGGAAATGTGCGTGATTACTACGTACATGTACGTACTTAGTTTCCATAAACGGCCATATTGAATTTTTCGCATAGAAACATTCTTTCTGATAAGTATTTTTTTTTTATTCTAGAATTATATAATTGTATTGATTGAGGACGACGCGACTATTCAATAAAACTTTTTTTTGAGAGTAACATAATCGCTAATTGACCCGGACAATTTTTTCTGTGAAAAGTCATCTTATTGAATGTCATGTGATAAAAGGGATAACAACAACGATAATATAAATTATTCTAAAATGACAAACATTAATGATGACGACGACAAAGACCTGCTAACCAACAAAAATAATGACCCTTCAGATTCATTGCCTAGTTTACCATCGTTTTCATCAGCGTCATCATCATTAGCAGAAGAGAAAGCAAAACAAGGAAACAGCTCAACAGACGGATATGATTCTTCCTCATCATTTATGCAAAGTAATGTCTTGTCGAACGAGAAACCATCTTCAAGGTAAAAAAAATAATTTAATACCAAATTTCAAATTACCGATATTTATTACTAACGCTAATAACAATAATAAATTAACAGTACATCTCACGTGACGCCTCTATATCTTAAAAATCTGCATCGACAAATATCAAAATGGGATGACAAACAAATAGTATCACCAAGAAAAGAATTTAACAACGAAATAATCGACGCGTATAAATCTATGCTTGATGTTTTAAATAAACTGAGATAAATAATAAATACATTCATTAAGTAGTTCGCGCCTAATAGTCGCGTCCGACGTTGTGAATAAATTAAAATTTAGTGATAAATTGCTTGATAATAATTATTAGTGTTTCGAGTGCATACTATATAGTTTGATTGTTGCATTTAGCTTATTGCACTTGATTCCGAGGAGAAGGTAAAAAGAATCATACCCTAATACTGAGCAAATAATTATAATCATCAGTTTTATCAAATTATTGACAAAGACTATTTTTCAAGCCATGAGTCTATAATGTTTATCAAATCATTGTTAATCAATCTCTTGACTTGTTATTATTATTAGTCTATATTTTTAAATGCCAGGCCATAAGAAAATCTTTGTTGCCGGGATTAAATCAGCTCATATATGGGATAAGGTTGAAGAGAAAGAAAACCAAATCGCAGAATCTTCAGACGTAGAAAGCGATGAACACGAAGAACCAGAAACTTATGGGTAGACAGTATTTACTTGTCTTTGATTTAAAAAATACCTTTTTTTATAAGAATTAATAAATTAATTGATTTTTGTTAATCAAGACTTTTATTTGAAATTATCAATGCTTATCGTCCGCCAAATCCTCGCTCAAAAGTTGGATATTATCGTCCAATTCCATTTAGTTGTTTCACTTTTGCACCTTTTAATATCAAGAAGATTGAAAATAGTAATACATCGTTGAAAAGCGGAGTCGGCATGCTGGCAGAAGCTATCAATGGCAATTTAATGATGGCCGCCGCTGATCAACGTGGCTGCTTGTTGATATTTGATTTTGGTGCGAACAAGTTAGGTAGTCTTTAATTTTTATTATTTATTTCTTATTGTTTATTTCTTATTTAATCATGTGCCCTTTAACATTTGTAGAGTTTGGCAAGTGGTGAGAATCGGGATTGCGATATCAGCGATTGCTTTCACATCACTTTCAAGAAATGAACTAGTGGTGGCATTCACTGACAATACTTTAAAAAGTTATAATATCGGTTAGTTGATTGTCTCAGTTTTTTTTTTACTTATTCCATAATCATAGATTTATTCATTGATTGTTTCCAATAGAGACACGTCAATTAATAGCAGAAACAAGATCTCATCGGAAACCCGTGGAATATATCTCGATGCACCCCACACAACATTTAGCAATCACAAGTTCATTATCTGAAGGCATTTTATGGAATATGGTGGATTGGACAAAGGTGAAAGTACTAAATCAACTTGAAGAAGGACTAGCTTTAAGACGTGTAAGCATTTCTCTTTTTCTTCCTTACGTATAATTCATCATTTTTTATGAATCAATATTTTATTTTATAGGCTTTATTTTCACCTAGTGGGAATTATATTATTACAATATTTTTCAATGATACAATTTGTATTTGGAATAAGTCAAATTTTAGACTTATTTGGAAACTACAAGCACCACCTCGCCCTACTCCATTAATTTACAGTTTTAATAACATGCCTGATATGGCGTGCCGCGTCATAGCCGTCTCAAAGAATGAGCAAGTGATAATAGTTGGCGGCAAGTAGGTTTTTATTACTAAGAATGCAATTTTTTAATGTAGTAGAATTTTTACTGCTTGCTCTCTAACCAAATTTACCAATTCTTTGAATGGAATTAGAATCACGCTTTACGTCTGGGATTTTGAAAAGCGACGACTTTTACGTGAATTGAGTATTCAGTCAATCTCAGCAGGCGAAATCACACGGATGGAAATTATTAATGATGACACGGTAAAATAGAATATTATTGGATATCCTTTTTCCTGTATGAGCAAATTACATAAAACCCTTTTATTCACAATTTTATTTTTATTTACTGTAGGACCTATTGATACTTACAACGGATGGTCATCTCTTATTGGTTGACATTTATCAGAGCGAATCAAATATTCATCAACTCAATATTAAACATTCTGCAAGTGTATTGGTCATTTTTTCACATTTTTAATTCCTTATTTTAGTCGCTTATTTTTTGTTATGTTTTAATCTAGGTTAAATTATTCGAAGTTTCTCCGGATGGAAAGTTTCTCGTGACTAATACAATGGATGAAAAATCCATTCTAAAGATATGGGATCTAGAAGCTCTTATCTCGGATACTGTATGAGAAATGTTTTTAACATCATTTTATTGAAATCTGGAAGGCCGTTTTTGACCCAATTTTTTTATTTCAGTTACAACACCAATATCGAGATTCTTCATTAAGATCGATACCACATTCCATCAATGATCCGCGTTCGGCTACATCTTCCCCTCCTCTCGAAGACCAGACTAAAAAGGATGAAGTGAGAATAGTATCCACTTCTTCCGAAGAGCCTGTAGGTATTCCCGAAGCACCAAAAAAAGAAGTTATCAAAGAAAAGGAACAAAGTAAAATAAAAATAAATACATTTATGTGTGTTATTAATAAACGTTAATCTATAGATTTTTTACTCGTTAATTTAAAATTTAGATGAATTTACATTAGAAAAACCTTCAACGGTAAGTTTTGATGCGTTAACAATTCAGGTTTGTATTCAAATTTTCTTTTGTTACAATAAAATATTTTTGATTAAGTTGATAATTAATTTCCTTTATAACATAAGAGCATGTCTTCAGCTTCACGCGAAGAAAGAAGAGAAAAATTAATTGAAAAATTAAACCAATATGGAGAATATCCAATGAAACATAGGTTTGTATTGAGTCTGCTTTACTTTTAATTATATATAACCGCATTGACTATATGGCATCTACCCTACCTATAGGGTTCGAATTTGGCGTATTTTACTTAATTTACCCGATAACCAGGAAGCCTACAAAAACCTGATTAAAAAAAAATTAGAACCATCAATTAAAGAGATACTATCCAAAAGATTTTCCGCTAAAGATCCGGAGCAACTAAAAATATCCGCAAAAATGGAATTGTAAGAAATTATATTATAATAGTCAAATCATTATTGTTTTTATTTTTTAATATAAGATTATTTTGCTTAGGTATTTGTCAACATTAATCAAATGGGGTTTCGCCCCTGAAGTGGTCCAAGATTGGATACCAGCTATAATATTTCCATTCATGGAAATATTCTTGGATAGCGACGATATTTTGGGATTCGAGGCGATTTTGACGATCTTATGTAAGCTTGATTTTTTGTTCTTTTGTCGTCGCTAGTTTGAATGGAAATAAACACCAGTTAATCTATCAAAATAGTGAATTGGTTTCAACACTGTTGGGAAGATTATCCGACAGCACCGAGTCGATTTCTTAATATAATTTGTAATTTATTGGAACGCTGCGATCAGTCCCTGTATAATCATTTTGATCAATGCGGAATGATTCTTGGTGAGGTATTATCAAAATGCTTTTACTGTCTATTATAAACATTTATTAATAGACACCAATTACATTAATTACACATTTTTACACTCGTATCATTTTCTAGCATTGCTTATGGCCTATGATTTTATCAAGTTTCTCGATCATTTTTAATAAGAAAAATTGGCATCGATTATGGGATCATTTCTTCTCGAACGAGGAACCTTCGATGCTGCATTATTTTGTTGTGGCGTATATGGTAGTGATGCGAGAAAAATTATTGCAGATTACAAAGAAGAAAGCTATCATTGTTTGTATTTTAGTCCCGCATAAATCGGTTGTTTTGATTTTCTATTTATAACAGACTTATATATATATAGGAGTTTTTCCGATATATGCAATCGGCAGATCTGAATCACCTGTTAAAGGTCACCTATAAAATGCAAAATGACTCGGACATTACTCCACCTTGGTTGTCTCCTAAACTCGACATTATACACTTTAGGCCACTATCAAAAACTGGCGAATACCGACTGGTATACGATGAAAGTCACAAGCCTAAGAACAATAAAAAAAATGCGATACGTGACTGGATATTAAAGGAGGAAGTTCAGATTGTTAAGCAAAAGTAATATTATTTTCGCATGATGGTCTTAATCTTATTTTTCAATTTTTATTTATCCACATATTTAATTATGATAGGTTAAACTCGATAGCTACCGACTAAATCTAAAGATAGCATTGATAAAGGAAATTTAATAATCTTGCAATTTTTCTTTGGATGTATGAGCGGTAGGTACTGACATACCCAAAAAATGTATTGTACTCGAGATACTTATTAGAATTTTTAGAATTCAAGGAGGATATCTTGTTCCCTTTTTACATTTTTGATAAATTAGCCAATCCACAATATGATCTTTTTCATAGCAAAAAATGTAATCTAGCATGAATTTCAACCTGTATTATTCTAAAGAGTCTGATAACCAAATAGTCGTAATGTTGCAAGTTAAAAATTTTTCAGCTAGTGTTGAGTTGTTATTTTTTGAAGATTGAGTTGGTTTAACTAGTATAATTAATTCAATAATGTTATTATTTTTAACTTTTACAAAGTATTAAGAATAATAATAATAATTGTATTTAGTTTAAAAATATATACTTTTTTATTATCTTATTATTTTCTATTTAATTTTGCTAAAGCTTAATTCTAAAGAAGAAACAAAGATATGACATAACAAAAACATTTATATATATGATGCAAACAGTTTAAAACATTCAATATATTTAATATCTTAAGTTATACAAATACTTAAATTACAAGAAAAATATATTATATTATAATTTTTATTAAGGATTATTTAACAATATTTTTTTTGTGATCAAAATGTTTGAATATAATTTAATATATTGGATATATTGAATATTTTTAACTTTATTATCATTTGAATATATTTTTTATAAAATTTCAATATAAAATAAATAATTTATATAATTTATATAATTTAAATCAAATAATAAAATAATAAAATTTTATAACTAGATAATGTTAATTTATAGACAAATAAAATATTAATATTTTTTTATTATATTAAATATTATTAAGATTACAATTTCAATAAAATATATATATATATTTTAATTAGAATTTATATTTAGTAATAATATTATTATATAAATTTAAAACAATATAAAAATTTAATATTTATTAACAAAATAAAAAATAATATTTCTACTAAAATTTAAAAAATTATTTATTAAAACTTATTTATTTTTTACATTAAAATACATATTGTTATAATTTCATATTTCTTATAATTAATTTTATATTTTTATATTAATATTTAAAATAATCTTATTAAACAATAATATTTATAATTAGTATTTAAAATTTGAATATGTATTTGAATACTAATTAGAAATTTAATTTGAATTTCAATTTGAATTTTAGTTTGAATTTCAGTTCAAATTTCAATTTGAATTTATATTTGAATTTCAATTCAAAATTTATAATCTTATTAAAAGTTTGATTTTTATAATTTATCTATAAATACAGCATGTATTTTAATCAAAAATTAAAACAGAAGTTGAACAAAAGAAGAACTGAAGTTAAACTTATTTTTTGTATATTTCTTTTTACTTAATTAATTTATTATAACTTTTCATCTTAATTGTAAAGTTATTTTTATTATTTATCTTATACAATCAAATCTCTCTATATTCACACATATTTATAGTCACATCTTTATATTGTTATCATTTTAATGGGGCTTTCGAAATACTCAAAGGTATTTATAAAATTTAAGAAATATTCAAAGGGAAACTTGAATGTCTTAATGACAATTCACAGTCTTAATAATACTTTATGACTTTAGACTGAATATGAATTAAAGTATGACAAATACTTATAGAATTACTTAAAGATTGATAACAGTTGTGTTCTTTTAACACAATAACTGAACTGCTAAAAAGAGTTCTCAAAATCTCAATATCAAATATAATATGCATATTAAAACATCTTTAAATCTTTGAAGTCAAATATAAGATATAATATTTGTATTATCAGCAATACAAATCGAAGATAAGTATATTAAACAATGTATTATTAGCAATACAAAGTCAAAGGTAAGTTTATGAGTAATATATTATTAGTAATACAATCTCAAAGACAGATTTATGAATTATAATAATAATTCCTTTATTTAATATAATGTTTAATAGACTTCGTCACAACGTGTTCAGAAAGTCTAGGATAAAGATGATAACTTTATAGCGCTCCTGGCAAGACTGCTT